GTTGCCTAGAAACAGAATCCATGATCTAGATTTGTGCTAAGTTTGCAACAGAGGACATAGACTTCACTACCACAGGTGGCTACACAAATAGTGGTCACAGATCACAGTTTCACCATGAACCTGAGCTTCATTTCATAGACTAGAACTTGGACAGGCCCTTTCTAAGACTCTGAGATAGGTCCTAGTGATGTGTTCATATAAAGTTATTTCACCCATAATTCATGACTCCCACTCTTTTTCATTTTCATATTGATTGATAATGAAGTAGGTGTGAGAATTTTTATTATCTAGTTGAGAGATGACATCATTCATAGTTATTTATATATATAAAATAAGTGATTATTAGCTTTTCTGGAATAGGAATAGTGTACTAGTGGTGTATGACCACTGTGATTAAAATGACAGAAACAACTTGAGGAAGAAAAGGTTTGTTTTGGTTATGATTTGGCAAAGATTCAGTCATCAAGGCTGTAAGGGCATGACAGTCAATTTTAGTCCATGTCTGTTAGAGCAGAGGAATACTCAGATAGCAGTGGGCCAGAAAGGTCAGAGGAAAGGGGCAGAGGGAGAAGGAGGAAGAGGAAGAAACTGTAGACACAACACACGAATATATATGTAATACAGCCAAAGCAGTACTGAGGAAAAATTATATCCTTCAGTACCCATATAAAAGTAAAAGATCACAAATAAACAACCAATTACAGTGACCCAAGAAAATGTACTACACAAACAAACCAAACCCCAAAATAGAAGGAAGGCTTACTGAAGATGAAAAAGTAGATGAAATGGGCTCCTTAAACCAAGAAAAAAATGAATAGGCAATTGTTTATGTAGTCATAAAATGAACTCCAGTAGTAATAAAAGAAAAACACTACTAAGATACATATAGTAATGTGGGTAAATTTCAAAATATTATACACAGTTGAAGAATCTAACAAAACTTTACAAACTACACACATAAAAGTTTTGATATAGAGAGAGGTGTGTGGGATACTCACATCAAGTACCCCACATCTGTGGAGATGTCGGGACTCAATGGGGTGGCTTGCCTCATAGCAAGAGTGATTACATGGAGTGGGTTGAATAAGCAAGGAACTGTGTTGAAAAGCCTGGTTTCTTCTACTTGGAGAGTAATGGAAAAGTAAGGAAAGGGAGAAGTCCTGAATGAAATCTATAAATTGAAATGGAATGAAGGTATCACTGAGAACTTATGAACTTAATATGCACATTTGGGTGAGCTAGAAAGAGGCAGGGAATGTCTGTGTGGGGGTATTAAATACTAATATGTTCATGCACTCTTATATCATGCTTTCTTTTCCATCCCCTCCTGAGGGAATTCAGAATGCTGTGGAGATATGGCCGTTCCAGACATATCTTGTGCTGAATTTAAGGAGGTGTTTCTAGAAACAAGAGGACAGGGCAAAAGGATGGAGTGGCAGCTTTGAAGATAGTTATGTGGGTACAAATCAGGGAAGTCTAAGTGTCAAAACAATGACTGAATGAAATTTCAACTAATAGGTTGGAGAAGGGATACATGAGTCCACACTGCTTTAAACTTGTGAATAATAAAGTGGACATTTGGTAGAGGGTCAACTAATCAACATAGAAGAAAGGAGAGACAGGGAAAGGAACATTTCAAAATCATGGTGTCTTGGATGCAGATGGGCATCAATGATATGCAGGAAGCAGAGGGGGCTTTTAGTCAGATAAAAGAGGCCAGCACATACCAAAGAAAATCTAAAGGATTCTTCTTCGTTAAATCCGAGGGTAACAAAATGGCCCGAGATGCTATCTTAAGAAATGTATATGTAAATTAAGATTTTTGTTCTCACTGAACTAAGTAGTGAGCAGATCTGGCAGCACATCCCTATAATCCCAGCAATTCGGAAGCTGAGGCCATCCTGAGCTACACAGCCAGATCCTGTCTCAAAAGTAAATATCAAGCAAACACAAAATAGCAACTAAATGGTTTTGGGAACTCTCTAGATAGCTTACAAAAAAAGAAAATAAATCCCTACTGAGCACAAACTTTAGTTTTCATTTGATAAAGCACTTTAGTTTCATGCCATTCCGTTAGTTTTTGAAAAAGTAGAGTATTCCATCCCTAGAGGGAAGTTCCTTCTTGAGCTAATCAGTAATGAGACATCATTTCACAGATCCCCTGCCTGTGTCCCATTGGGTCAAATGCTGACTTTGCCACTATAAACAGAAGACTTTGGCAATGTAGGATTGAGATTTCTTCCACAGACCAAAAGAAACACCAGTCTTTACAGAGAAAGTATTTTTATCCAGGTTTGCAAGAGTGACAGGAAAAAATAATCTCTAGAAAAAACAGTAGACTCCCTAAAGTGTAAATGACATGGAATCAATGCCACATTTTCCAATCCTGAGTGATAACTTCTTTCTCACTGTCCAGATAACTGTGTTTGGGGACCTCAGAACTTCATAGCAAATGAGACAAAAGAACTCTATTCAGTTGGCCAAAATGAGTATACGGCTAAGCAGTGCAGGAAGGGGCCAAGTTATCAGTGCATTTTAAATTAGTTCTACTTGCATTCAAGGCTACTTGGACATCAAAGCAAACTCATCTGTTCCCAATGCTTAAGTTGGTGGTAAGTACATAAATGTATACAAACTGCTAAAAGTTGCATTATAATTTGAGCATTAGATGACATTTGTCATCTCGCTGGGAACCATGGCTTTCATAGCAGGTCAGCTTTCCCTTCTGTTTGCTGCTCAAACAGATCTGGGCTATCAGGAAAGCAACTTAAGCTAGAGGAGCATAAACCAAGCCTCTGCCTTCAGGGTTCATCTTTTTAGAGAGTAAATTTTATGTAAAACTTTCCATTATTAGTTGTATGATGGAAAAGACACCTATTATTTATGCTTATAATTTAGCAAAACATGACTGTGGTAAGCTTCTCATCAGAGTATAAAGTAATTTGAGGAAACACAAGTAAACAGTTTTCTATGGAGAGGAAAATATCAACTTGTTCCCACCACAGAAAACAAAACTGATATTCAAATTGCTTAATTCACATTTCGCAGACCTGGAACTGACTCTTGTTAACTTTCTTGTTCCAATGTTCGTTGAAGCATAAAGCTTACAAAGTTGTTATCAATACTTCCCTCATCTTCTTGAGCATTCAAGCTCAGATATGGGTCCAGGAAATTCAAGAGGGAGATGAGAAATACAAGGTCAACCCATACACAGGTTGAAGATTAAATATATAAATAAATAAAGTAATGATATTATTCATTAAGGAAGTGTCCTAAATGTTGGATTAAAATACTCTCAGATGCCTGTGGATAAAACTTGTAAAGACCCCTGAGTAGTTTTCTAAAACTCTCAATAACCAATGCCAGCTTTAACCTCACTGCTGCACTCTCACAGGAGTCAAATGTTTTTTTTTCTTTCTTTTTGTTATCTATTTGTTTTGTTGGCTATGTGAATGGGTATTATTCCAAAGGGGAATGCTATCACCCTAAGGTGCTGCAATGTCGGTTTGCTGTAAAGGAGAGAAAAACCTATTTGGTGATCTCAGAGACATCAGCAGTGACTGCAAGCAAGTAGAGTAAGCATTAAGAGGCAAGAATAAAAGCACAGCCCATGTAGTTTGATTAATGCAGCTGGGGTAACCTAACCTTTAGTTTTATGGTTTTTTTTAAATTAACGAATACTTTTTCCTAAGGCAAATGCTATAAGCCTGAGTTCAAATCATGTAAAATACAGGATGGTACCAATGTTATCTAGAGTTATGCTTTTAGGAGTTCATAAACATCTGATGGACACAATCAGAAAGCTGAATAAAACCCAGTGTGAGAATTAAAGCACTGAATTATTCCACTCCCTTTCTGGCTTTCCTGACTGTTTCTCTGTTGTTACCCTGTTCCAACAGTTCCTGCTAGAGTGATAAATACTTTTGCTCCTCTTTGTGAGGTGACTTTGGAGCAGGAGAGGATGTCACATGTCACGGATGCACTAATACATTATATTGTTCACAAAACAGTTCTATATTACTACTCTCAGGGTGAGGGGTTAATTGATTAGAAATGAGTCGACTAACTTTCTCTTCTTTATTGATGATGAGGCTTCCTGGAGAGATAATCTTTTGCTGAGTTCTCAGAAGAAACATTAGAATCAAGGCCTAGTCAGTTGGGGCATTAGTCATGTTGAAGGAGAAAACAGGCAATGTCCTCCGTGGTGAGATGCCTCTTTAGCAACAATACAAACATCATTTACTCCTTATTATCAGTTAGGGAGACTTTACAACTTTTCCAGTGAGGATCCAGCTTGAAAATGGAACTAACTCTACCCAGTTACTATCCCAGAACAGCAAGTCCTTGGTGAACTAGGACATAGAGTCATTGAACCCGTTGGGGGGGGGGTGATACTATCTTGTAATACAAAGACATATATTCTGTGTCCCCAGTACATGAGAGGGTAAGGCAGGAGGATAATGCCAGCATCAGCTACACATCAAGATTGAGGCTAGCCTCAACTACATAAGAAGGAAAAACAACAAAAATGAAATTGTGAAGTATGTGAAACGTATCTTTGCTAATATTGCTTATACTGTCCTTTCTACCTTGTTCCCACAGTTCTTGGCAATATATTTTTTTTATTAAAAAGGACAAAAATGTGTTTCTTCAATCCCCCCAACAGCAGATATCCAGGGAGAAAGACTCCAGAAAGACCCATCCACTGAACAGCAAAACACCAAAGGAGCAGCTCTGTGACTGTAGAAACTGATGCAGTGCTGCCTACTTAAAATCACTTTGCCATAATCTGTTGTGAATCCTTAAACTCCTCTGAAAGGTTTGGCAGACACTTCACCTTTTGTCAATACATTTTTTTCACACTAACAGGATCAGTTTGTCAATGGATGAAGTACTGTGGCATCATCACTTCATAACTAATTGATGCAGCCAATAAGCATGTTCACTGGCTTTCTAACCCCAATTTGTGTTCCAGGGACACGGAGTCTGTACCATTTACCATGAATCTGGCAAATGAGAGCATCCCAGGGGAGTTCATTCTCTTAGGGTTTTCAGATCGGCCATGGCTGGAGCTGCCACTCTTTGTGGTGTTTCTGGTGTCCTATATCTTGACCATCTTTGGGAATATGATGATAATTCTGGTGTCCCGCCTGGATGCCAAACTCCACACCCCCATGTACTTTTTCCTCACTAACCTGTCCCTGCTGGATCTGTGCTACACCACGAGCACAGTCCCACAGATGCTCATCAACATATGCAGTGCCCAGAAGGTGATCAGCTACGGTGGCTGCGTGGCCCAGCTTCTCATTTTCCTGGCCTTGGGTTCTACCGAATGTCTTCTCCTGGGTGTCATGTCCTTTGACAGATTTGTAGCCATCTGTCAACCTCTCCATTACTCAGTCATCATGCACCAAAGACGCTGCCTCCACCTGGCGGCTGCATGCTGGATCAGTGGCTTCAGCAACTCAGTATTGCAGTCTACGTGGACCCTTCAGATGCCACGGTGTGGTCACAAGGAAGTGGATCACTTCTTCTGTGAAGTTCCTGCCCTACTCAGGTTGTCCTGTGTGGATACCACGGCAAATGAAGCAGAGCTGTTCTTCATCAGTGTGCTGTTTCTTTTAATACCTGTGACTCTCATCCTCATATCATATGCTTTTATTGTCCAAGCAGTGTTGAGAATCAGGTCAGCTGAAGGTCGGCGAAAGGCATTTGGGACATGTGGCTCCCATCTAATTGTCGTGGTACTTTTTTATGGCACTGCCATCTACATGTATCTGCAGCCCCCGTCCCCTGCCTCTAAGGACCGGGGAAAAATGGTGTCCCTCTTTTATGGGATCATCACCCCTATGCTGAACCCCCTCATCTACACACTTAGAAACAAAGAGGTAAAGGGTGCATTTAAGAGGTTGATAACAAGGGTTTTCTTGATCAAAAAATAAGGGATGCCCAATAGCAGCCCTATTAGTAGTATAAGTTTTTACAGCCTGGTCATTAATATTGTTTTGCTCCCCGTGGAACTATTATGATGGTTCTCCTCAAATAAAATCTGAGAGAGAACTGCATCTCTGTTCTGCTGCCCAGATATATTAGTTTCACATGCCCTGAGAAGTGACCTTTCATGACCCGCCCCCCAAAACAGGTAACCCTATAAGCTGTACATTTTAAAGCTTTGTACTATTTGTGTGCTTGGTAAGGATTCTCAGACTTCTAAAGTAAAAACCTGAGAATTCTTTCTACAAAAACAAGGCATTCACTATACATACAGATACACCATCATGCACATAAACATACTCTCATGCTCTTTTAAACATGTGTAGGAGTGGCGGGGCATTGGTGGCATACGCCCTTAATCCCAGATCTCATGGCAGGCAGATCTCTGTGAGTTTGAGGCCAGCCTAGTCTACAGAAGAGTGTTCCAGGACAGCCTCCAAAACAATACAGAGAGACCCTGTCTCGAAAAACAAACAAAAACAAATGTGTAGGAGCTCTAACAGAAGTAGGGAATGCTGGTCATAGACTCATCTTTTTGAGACCTGGGTAAAAATTCAGCATTATCTCTACACCAATGCAATTTAAAATCCACAGTGAACCCCCCACCCAAAGTTTATTCGAATATTCCATTATTTCATTCTTATAGTTTCTACCTCTATTAAATTAATGACATCTTATTTCATCTACTAAAAAAGAAATACTAATAAAGCAATATTTTAATTTAATCAAACTGGTTTTTAGCATTTTAAATGATTTCTCCTATATACATATTATCTTTTCTTGTTAACTCTTAAAGGATCTATAGTTAAATCCTGTTTAAAAACAGTCTTACAGTGATGCCTACTCCTGTTCCATGTACTTTTCGTATGCAAGAAGAAAGTTTGTTTTCTGTTAGTTGCCTTCAGTCATCACAGGCTATAATTCATACTTCTTCCATATTGCTTCCAAAATTCAACAGTGCTGAACAAAATTCTTATACACTAAAAGTCATAACTGATCAAGTTTATTATATATTACACTTTAATTAATCTCTTTGATTCTTTTTTCACCAAAAATTGATCTCAAAAACAGAGAATGAAGCAGCAGCAGCAACAACAACAAAAACCACATAGAACACTTATACTGAGTCACAATACCTTTAGGGTTTCTAACCCAGCAGGTCCGAGGCAAAGATAAGAACTTGTCTTTCTGCAAGTCCCCAGAAAATCTTGATGTTCTCTGACAGGGACCAGACTTTAAGAACTGCTCTACTAACAGTTAAAGAAAACAGCAATTATATTGGGGGTCCTATCCTTTATTTATTTTATTTTTTTGGTTTTTTACGAGACAGGGTTTCTCTGTATTGTTTTGGAGGCTATCGGTCCAGCCCGGCCTCGAACTCACAGAGATCCACCTGCCTCTGCCTCCTGAGTGCTGGGATTAAAGACATGTGCCACCACCGCCCAGCGGGGGTCCTATCCTTTATTTCTATCACTGGGAGTTAAAGAGAATACTGGAAGTGTATTTTGAAAACCAGAGGGCATTTTCTAAGTAAAGTGCATGCTTATCTTAAAGTTCAAGTAAAAGAAGGAGCAAATTTCCAGAGACAACTTTTTATGTCACTTCAAAGTCAATGTCAGTGTCCTTTAGAGATCTGTGAGAAGCTGGCTGTGGTGGCTCTCAAGGGCAGGATGCTAAGGAGAAAGCTGGTGAACCTGTATGCTCCATCCTGGCCCCCTGAGATAGTACTGATATTTTCCCAGATCTCATCTGGGTCCATTACAGCCTTCATAACTACGGTTAGGCCAGTATAAAATATTTACTGATGCCTTGACTGAAGCCAGAGGTGGGGTTGGAGGAATTAGCAGAGAGGCTAAAATTCAGGTATTTTTTTTGTTTTAAAAAATGAGCAATTTAATTGATTCAGCACACTCTACATTAGTGAATTTTAAAGGGATTTATATAGAAATTCTACAAATATTTTTCTATTAGTTAATATGTACATGCATATATGATACGTGTTTCTTGATCTTCCCAGATAATTCTCATTGCACTTTTGTACAATGTGGAGCAATACTGACTAAGGAGGTAGAATAATTCTATGTGCTCCTATCTGTGTTTAAAAACTCTCATAAAAAGTGATGAATAAAATGCTACTATCTTGGAAAGAATTCACTATTGCTACAGGATTTAAATATTTTACCCTATTAGTTGACAATTATCATTAGTCTGTCTGAATTTAAAAATGACAGGATTTATAACTTTAAAAGGATTATTTAATATAAGAAAATAGTTCTAAAGATGTGAGAAATATTGTGTAAAGTAAAAACAGCAAACAAATGGGTGATATTTTACATAAATCAGTATAGATGTGTCAAATACATTTTCTACACGAAAAGGTACAGAAATATGATTGATAATATATTCCATAAAATCCTCACTTGGGAAAACAAAAACATACTGATTATACTATTGACCGCAGCTCTTGAATTTGCATTTAAAATGTGCATCTAAAATGCTTTAGTTGAATAGAGAGTGAGGAACTCAGCAATCAGAATATCAAACTTCTCGAAGACTTTTTGAAGCATGGATTTGTTCAGTATGGAGTAGGGCACGCTTTTTCCGATGTCATTGGCATCAGGATTGGAAGGGTGCTCAGGAAATGTAGTTTCTTTCATAAATAGCAGAATCCCTACCAGTGGGTAAAAGTCAAAAGTTGATTTTAGTACAGTGGAAGAAAAGATTCAGACATTGACACTATACAATGCTAATAGAGCTATTTCTGATAATCTTGGAAAACAGATATTTATGAAACAAGGTTGAATCAATGCTTTTCTATTTCATTCTATTTCAGGAGTTTTCAACAGTGAAATCAAATTTAATACACTGATTCCTCTAAGTGACCAAAGGAAAGCAAGCAGACAGAGAAAATGGTAACACTGGAAAGTCTTGAGTAGAAGTTGAGCTGGTGGCTGTGGCTTCGAAGAACAAAATCGGTTTTTTAATTGTTCTTATATGTCACATTAGAAAATATGAAATGTCAGAAATGGGTCAGTGTCTCTGAGATTTACAAATAATGGAGAGAATGAATAGCTTGTAACGAATCTTCCAACCCAAAAGGTTAATGTCCTGGCAGCTATAAGAATAATTTGTTTAGATATGAAAAAGATTTCCAAATTTCTGGACGTTATGTACCTGAAACCAAGAATCAACCTGGCCATTTTCCACAATGAGTGGTGAGGGAAGGAGAAAAAGTGACCTACTTGGAGGAGCTGTCCCATGCATGTTGCAGATCCTGGAGGCTCCTTTCACATCTTTCTCCACTTTGTGAACCTCAGTCAAATCTGTCTCAACCTGTCTCATAAATATTCATGACGACATTTGGGAGCCTTCTAAATAATCTATAATGAAGACCTCCTCTTAAGATTCTCAATCGTATCTTTTGTTAATTAAGGTAACACAAATTATGAGGTGTGCCTGTAGACCTACTTCATTGCCAAAGCAAGATCATCACTAAAATACTGAGCCATCAACACCATTGGGAATCGTAATAGTCCCCCATCTCCTAAATAAAAAAGAATAAAATTAAGTTGTTTTCTAGAGTCTTGATCAGATTGGCAAGAATCCACTTTATTCTTATTCTTAATGTTATCACTATCTTACTATCATGAGAAATTTTAAAACTCCACACATTTTTCCTATTTGAAGCAGTAGAAGACAGATTGCATTGCCTACCAGGATATACATTGAGCTAAACACTGGATAAAAGTTGGCAGGAAAACAAATAAAACTTGTCATCTCTTGGCTTTTGTGAATAGAGCTACAGATGTCTCTCTGAAATACTGATTTTATTTCCTAGATGAATGTGAAGTAGTGAGATTTCTGCATTATATGGGATTTCAGTTCTTCGAGGAAACTTTAAAGTGTTTTCTATAATGGTTATGCTAATTTAAATTGTTCTCTGTGATGGGTAACTAATTTACATTCACACTAACTATACATAAATGTTCTATTATTTTTCTACATCATTACCAGTATTATAAAGCCCATTATTACTGGGTGAAATGACAGATCATCATTGTGGTTTTGATTTGCATTTCCCTAATGAAGTAAGGCTCAGCACTCTTTCTTTTCTCCCTTCCTTCCTTCCTTCCTCCCTCCCTCCCTCCCTCCCTCCCTCCCTCCCTCCCTCCCTCCTCTCTCTCTCTCTCTCTCATTTGAAGATTTATTTATTTATTTATTATGTATACAGTGTTCTGTCTGCATGTATCGGGTTCTCTGGCAGGTAGGGCTATGGAAGGTCAACCCAGCTGGTCTTTTCCTGGGGTTGAGCAGAATGGAGAGTGTCAACAACCCAGACTTCCTCCTAATTCCTGCAGAGAACCACACTGAGTCGGGAGGAAGGGGTAGGGGATTGGAATCTTAGGATGGGGTAAGGTGACATGAGGAGTAAGGGCCAATAATATTCCACCAAGCAGGCAGGTAGCTAGGCAGGAGGCAATCTTACATCAGGTATGGCTGGGTCACCCCCATATGGAAGTTACAGGCTAAAAACAGGTCGCCAAACTATAGTCAGGCTCAGGAGGTTTCATTGGGTCTCATGTCGCAGCCTTTTTAGGTCCAACATGCATGTATGCCAGCAGGCCAGAAGAGGGCACCAGATCTCATTTATGGATGGTTGCGATCCATCAAGGATGCTGGGAATTTAATTCAGGACCTCTGCAAAAGTAGCCAGTGCTTTTAACTGCTGAACCATATTTATGTTGTTGGCCACTCTTATTTCATCCTTTTTGAAATGTATGCTTAGATCTATTGCCATTTTTTCTATCTTTTAAGGCCTTGCTATATCTTGAATTCCTCATGTATTCTGAAGAGTAGCACATACAATTTGCAGATATCTTCTCCCAGTTTTTAGTTCAAAAGCATCTGAGTTTTATATGGTCCCATATGCTTACTTTTGTTTTTATCTATTGCACAGTTAAGGGCTTGTCAAAAAAAAAAAAAGCCTAATGTTATCAAATGTTTCCTCCATTTTTAAAATACAAAGACGGCACTATTTTAAAAGTGTGTTTTTTGCATCTTTGTGGAAAATCAGTTGGCATAGATATACAGGATTAATTCCAATATTTTTATTGTTCTGGATTTTTATTGTTTGTAGGCCAGAAATTTTCTGTTTTGATTGCTTTAGCTTAGTAGTATATCTTTAAACCAATATTGTAATTACAGTTGCTTTATTATTTTGTCCAAGACTTCTTTGTGTGTGTGTGGTATATGGGTGCTCATTGATATATTTGAAGGGCCACTGAATGTATCACATGCCTTCTACATCTCTTGAGTTGAAAGTGAGGCTTTTGTCTTTACTGTGTGGTATAGCATGTTTATTATTTGTTGGACTATCCTTTCATCCCACTTAATCATGGTGAATAATCTTTCAAATGCATTGTAGGATTTGGCTTGTGAGTGTTTCCTTGAGGACTTATTTAGTTGTGTTCATCAAAGACATCACTCTGGAATTTTATCGCTGTGTCTCTGTCAGCTTTTGTATTAGAATAAATGCTAGCATCACAGCATATACTTGGAACAATTCCTTCCTCAATTTTATGGAATAATTTAAGAAGAGTTAGTATTGGTTACTCTTCAAACTCTTGATAGGGCCTCGGTGAT